CAGAGTTAGGAATAAACCAATTTGTATATTTAATAATACGGATGTTTTCCCTCCCTTAATCTTGTCTTTGGCAATCATCATTTATTTTCCTGTGTGTTTTTATGGGAATAATCAACCACAGCCAGCTGGAAAAGGGATGCCAGGTTACTGCTGTGCAATTATCACAGTGAATTTTCCTCCACAAAGCCCAGGTTTGCTCTGTCTGAGCCCTGGTGCCATTTCTCTGTGCACACCCAGGGCTGGGCAGTGTTCAGCAGTCCCCACAAGGTTGGAGAGCTTTGGTTTTGGCAGCAGAATTACATGTCCAGTGCAAATCTCACAGTGAATCCGAGGTGAATCACAGCAAATAAAATGTGAGGTGAGTTTGCACGTGGGGCAGGGCACGAGGGGATCCTCAGCTCAGGCTCATGGAAACTCCACATGGCTCAAACCACTGGTGGCGTGGCCCAGTAAATACTCACCTGGAATGCTCTACAAAAGTGGAATTAAATACAGATCTTGGCTCCTCAGGGTCTAACCCAGGTGACAGAGCACTCTTCAAGAGAGACCATTCAAAAAAGACTCCAAAGACTCTCACTGAGGGCATGAAATGAGAATTTCTGTGCTAAACCCTGAGATGGGCAAAAGCCTTCCTGACAAACTGAGAGCCTTTGGTACCAGAGTGAAAAGATGAGGGGAGATCTGTATTTAATGGTTTCTTCAGAGAAGAAGAATTACAGCCATGTAATTTGCTTTTCTCCTGAAGAAATGAACTCCAGCTGTTCATGGATATAATTCCTGGTGGGAGGATGACAACCTCCCCAGAATCCTAAAACTGAACATACAGGGCTGTGCTCTGCCTGAAGCCAAGGCAGAAGAGAAGAACTTGGCCCAAAAGTTTATCTTCACCAAACAGAAAATAACAAAGAAGAAAAGAGCTCATGGAAATAAATAGTGGATTTTGAATTAAGATGGAACCTTTTCATGACAAAGGAATGCATTTATTTAGAACAATTCAAGCTGCTAAAGAGGAGAAAGGAAATAAAAATTCATAAGTTTAAAAAATTTCCAACACAATATAAGATGCAATCATGTTTCGATTACAGGCCTCCAGGTAGAGAAAAGTACTGTCCTACATTTGAAGTTTATCCATAAGGTTGATATTTTCCACAGATGTCTCATTTTTCTCTATGTTCTATACACTAGAAAATCCAATTTTTTAGATGTGCACAGCAAATAAAAATATCAGTGATTAGCAATTAAAAAAAAAAAATCTGATAGTAGCAGAATAGTCCTGGCAGAACAGATACTTCTTCCTGATTTTTAACACAGAACAGATTTTCAGAAGCATTTCTGTTGTCATTTATGTGAGTAGGACACAGGTATCATTCCCCTAAACTCCAAGCAGGATATTAATTTAAAAATTTTTAAAAAAAGTAAAAAAAGTAAAAAATGAAAAGCCACCTTTCCGTAAGAAACACAACAGTTCCCATTCCACTAACATGGGGCTACCATGATGTTTTCTATATTAAAAGCTACATGGAAACCATAAAATGAGGTGCTGGCATTTTATCCAACTTCAGAACGTCTTGCCAGGAGTGACCTTCACTGCTGTAAGGTCTGAATTGGTTCAAAAGGAAAGTTTTCATGTTTTCTACATGAAAAATGAGGATGAAAAATGCAGTCCAGCACCTCTGTGAGGTTTTTAGCATCTGAAAAGGAACAATCTTTAAGCAGCAGTTACCCTGTCACCTGTATTTTTTTCAGGTTTTCCTTTTATTCTCAGAACATTCCAGGCAGTTGTTTCCCACCTGGGGCAAATAAAGCAAACTGAATTTCAGGAATGAATGAAGCAGAAGAGGAAAGAATCAGGCTGGGGGTGTAAAATTCTGACAAACATAAGAAGTTTTTGAATCTCCAGTTTAGAATGTTTCCATTCTCAGATGTGAGGGAATTGGAGAATCTTTCAATACACAATCAAAAGAGGTGAGATGAGTATTTTTTTCTGGTTTTTTTACTCAGATTATGAAGTCTGGCCTGAAGGTAAACTTGGTGAACTTCCCAAAGGCTGTTAGACCTGCCAAGAAGGTGTGATCACTCTTGTCTTCCTTCAGAACGAAGAATTTCTGAGGAAGGCAACAAAAACTTGGGAAAAATGCAGAAAACTGTTGGAAAGTCCTCTCTGTATGCAATTTTAGATCCTCCTCAAACTTGCATCTCTAAGATAAACCATTTGTGAAGCTTCACCACTCAGGGGTCATCTGAGAGAGCTTTCCAGGAAGGAAACTTCCATTCAGAGAAGGGGAGCACACACCCCTCCAGAGATTCCCTATTGGATATTTATCAGAGATTCCCTATTGGATATTTATCAGAGATTCCTTATTGGATATTTATCAGAGATTCTCTATTTTATATTTATCAGAGATTCCCTATCGGATATTTATCAGAGATTTCTTATTGGATATTTATCAGACAACAAAAAATTTAAATGAACAAAAGGAGGCCAAAAAGAGCATCAGAAGTTGATAGCCAGTCTCTGGCATAGTTATGTGCATTTTTCATACACCTTTCTTTCAAAGATGCATGTCTTCACAGAAAATTCCCATGGAAACTCCTCTGGTGCCTTGGGTTGAACCCTCTGTTGGAGAGAGGATGAAGATGAAAAATCTCTTTATCACTGCAAAATCTCTTGTCAGTTTGGATGGGTTTCAAAGGGAGCACTCCAAGGAAGAAGTGTTTGTTGTCTGAAAACAACACCCAGCCTGTTGTGGGTTCTTTGTTTCAGCAGTGAAGGCTTTGCTGGGAGCTGGGCCCACCTGTCCAAGAGTGACTGAAGAGAAAATAAGGACAAATAATCCAATTTACAGCACAAGTGTGGAAACTGGTGTTAGGATTGAATGACCAAGCAGGTCCTGAGCTTCCAGAGTTCCATCCTAGTCTGCCATCCTCAGGGATATAAAACGAGGGGATTATAATGAGGCTCTACCTTCTTCCTCCACGTCTCCAGGAGTGCATCAGACAGCAGAGGATTCCTGCAAATCCTCCCAGGGATGCTAAAGACATCCCAATCTTTTCCTGGAGCTCTTCTTTTGCTGGCCTCCTGAGAAATGTGTTATAAGAGAATGAATCCACCTGGATGGGCCCCACAAACAGCAGGGATCAAATTTGACCTTAGTCCATCACTCTCCACTGCACACCTGGGCACTGCTTTGGAATCTGTTGGCCCATTTTCTCTTTTTTTTTTTTTTTTTAATCCCACAAATGTGAAATGGATGCAAAAAAATCAAAGTCATTGAGTAAATAAAATGAGAAGAAAAATCACAGAGGTCTCTTGGCAGAGATGAGGGAGACATCCTACTAGAGGTGCTTCTACAACTAAGAGCAGAAAGGAAACCAAGATGGATGTTAGCAAAGAGACATAATTAATGTTCATTTGGTTTTAAGTAGTGGAAAAGAATCATTTCTCTGTGAATTAAGTGGACAAAGAGATGCAGAACTAAAAGCTACCTCTCAGACTAGAAAGAGGACTGGAAGGATGTCATTTGCTTTGTGTTGCTCAAAGTTGTTTACACTCACCCCAACCAGAAAGACATCCTGACAGAAGTGCCAACAGGCAACACTCCTCCTACAGCCACCAGGGAGAAAAGAATGCACATTTAGAGGTCGTCTTTTCCTGAAGATCACCTGCACCTGGGCACTTTTTGTCACAACTGAAATTTGAATTTTCTCTAGTGATGAGCGCTCTTGACTCAATGGAGTCAGGACACACAAGCTCAGAGCTGAAGATCCATATTTAATCACTTACCACAGAACCCTGGGAATTCCCCCAGCTTTTAATCTCTCTACATTTTATGCTCTGCAGATGCAGCCAAGAGACCCCACTGCCCTGATTTGGCTTCTTTCCATCATTTTTTTTCTAAATTCATGGCTGCATCTTCCCCCCTCCCAAAAAAAAGTAGCTATTTGTAGATGCAGCAGAAGGTGCTGTTTATCTCGGATGAAGACAAAAACCCCAAATCTTCTGAGACAAAAATGTTCTTTAGAAGATTCTTTCAAGAAAAAAAAGATCATTTTCTTAATTATTCACCTCTTTTTCTTGTCAGGCTCATGTAAAACACTCACATCTGATGTGGTGATAGCTGTTCTCTGCTGCAAGCTGCCAGAAATACTTGATCTTAGAAAGATCAAGCAGAGCACACCTGAGTGCAATGAAACACTTCACTGCAATGGAAAAGGCAAAATACTTCACATGATTTTCTTCAGCACTCCAGGACACATTTCACAGCTCCTTAACCTGCACTATATTTAGCACCAGGATTCACTGCAAAGGTCTGGTATATTAAAAAATGCCGTGGATTTTTGTGTTTGGCAAAAGCTGGGGAGAGATGTTTCTCAGGAATCGTTACACCTCAATATTTAATGGCTGCTTAATTCCTACTAAAATCCAGAACCACATTTTTCATTACCTAATGGGAAATAAAATCAATCCCTTTCAATCGTGATCAATGTGTGGTGTGGCAGTGCCAGAACTGAACAGATTTATATTTTTAATCAAATTGTGCATCATACTTCAGACTCAATTTCAATTATTCTGTTAGTGCAGCAATGGCAGCAACAATGTATTTTTTTCTTTTTTTTTTTTGGAGCAAATCAAGCAATACATTTTAGAAAGCTTTCATAACATTCTGCGAGCTGACGTTGGCCAAGCAGCACAATTTCATGAGCTGTCATCACTCTGGGAGAAAAAGAACATCCAGTCACGGTATTCCCAAACCACAGATCCCTGGTTTTGCATTTTATCCCTTTATATCTTTGCAGTTTATCTCTTCTGCTGCACACACCCCCTTTGCTCAGTTCCCTTATTTTGTTTTTCATGTTTTTCCTTCGAGAGCAATTAACCAGTGCCATCCTCCACACAAAAACACTCCGTGGCTTTCCTTTTAATGTTATTTTGCCTTGATCCCACATTAATCATTTCTTTGGCTGTTTCTAGACCTTGTGGGCATTCATTTTTAGCATACCTGGGTTTGGATTCTGTTGAGCCCTCGGAACCAGAGGATCTGTCCACGTCGGAGCTCTCTCTCTGCATGATCTATTTCTTCCACATCTTCATTGAGCTCTTCCTCAGGGACCTCCTCCTTCTCAGTGAGCCTCCCTGCCTCCTTTAAAAACTTTAGCCTACTTGTTGGGATGGTTGCAATGACCTAAAATTATAAAAAAGTACTGAAAACATAAGCCTCATGCAAGAGCAACAGCATAACAATCTGTTAATTACAGAGTAATTAGAGTAATCATATTTTTGTAATGTCTATAAAGGTGAGCTAAGCCTGCTCCTAACAGCACTTTGTACTTGGACAACTCCATTTTAGTCACAAAAGTATTTAATTTACTTTGTAAACAATTAGGATGACTTGAACCACTAAATCACAGTGTGGAGCAGGTTTCCCAAGGCTGGGAAAAGTGTTATCAAAAAAAGAAATTGAAAACAAAACAAGACGGAAATATTTCAGTGTAAAAAAAACTTAAGCAAATTGATAGCTCTGCAATTAGAGTCTGGGAATTTGTATGGTAATGGGAGGTGAAAATTCATTGCATCTCCTGCTGATAAATCTTCTCACCATCCCTTGGTTCATGGATTCAGCTTCCCTTTGTTCCAGCAGCTGGAATGCTTTTCTGGCATTTATCAAAACTGAGTTTTCTGAAAGGTGTGGGTCTGGTTGTTGGATTTCTCTCAGGGCTTTCTCTCACTCTGTCCTTACTACCAATAAATTCTGATTAACTTAACCCCTCTTCTCATTCTGCTTGCCCACCCAAGTGGTCCTTGGAAGTAACTAATGCAGGTGAATAACCTTTAAAAATTGCAGATACTGTAGCTGGACAATTATTTTAAATCCATTTCAGTGTTACCCTGTTGGGCAGTCATTTTCTCTTTGTTCTGATTCCTTGCATAAAACCAGGAGCAAATCATGGCAATTTAAACAAGACATTACCTGGAACACACTGAATGCTTAAATCAAATCTCCTGCAAAGCAAATTTTTAAACCCACTTAGCAAAAAAACTGCTGCAATTTTCTTTTTTGTCTTCATTTCAGCAGCGAGCAACCACAACTGTGAAGCTCAGATGTATGAAAAATGAAGAGAGAACCAAGACAGCTGCCAGAAAATTGGTGAGGAGAACTTTGGAAAACTGGAATGGATGCAGTGAAGACACATGGAAATGTTCTGGATATTTTGAGGGTGAAAGCAAACCTCTGAGTTTGCTGAGGGTCTCCTTGAGCTTCACAATCCACAAGGCCAGTTTTGTTACAATGTTTTAAAGACAGAGTGAAAAAAAAATATAACCAAACTAAACCCAGTTTCTACACTACTATAAAACCTTTTTAAAGAGGGATTGAAAAACAAGATGCAAACCTGGAAAATTAATGGTGTGGCATGAGCAAAGACAAACAGGAGAGAAAAAAAAGGGGAAATGCTCATCAATTAAGTACTTACTGAAAGTCCTTCAGCCTCCCAGCTTTCAAACTACAATGCCAGCACTCTACAGAGAGAAACTACTGCAAACTCTGGGATCTGATGAAAGTGATGGTGATAAAGGATTTTTAAACCAATATTCATAAAAATAACTCGTCTGGGTCAGAACTGTGTGTGACAGAATGTTCCTCTCTTGCAGCACCTCAGCCAATGATGAGACTCTGCTTTAATTCTTTTCTTAAGGTGTTTACATGGCTTTTTATTATTTGTTTATTTTCTTTATCTGCCAACACCCACCCAGTTTAGGACACAGACTCAATAGATGCAGATTAAAGAGCTAAATATTATTCCCAGAAAAATGATCACAGTTTTAATAAGTGACCAATAATTCTGGGAATGGGATATGAAATACTTTAGAAAATCTTGGTTTTCAGAAGGGATGGCAGCTGCTAGAAACTGTCCCTCAAATTGACTTGCTGAAAACTTCTCCTTTAATTCCTTTCACAAGTGCCTGCTTTGACACCCAAACTCTGAAATCTTGATTGCCTTTCATGGCTCACCAGAACAGCAGGTTCAGCACGTGAATTAAAAAAAAAATAAGAATAACAAATTTGTTTTGTGCTGAATGAGTCAGAGCAGCAGAGAAAAGGCTGAGACAGAAGAGAAGCATCGCTGCTAAAGGAAAAGAATTCTCTCTCACTGAAGAGCTCCCTGAAGAAAGGCCTTGCCACAGACTGTAAATCATGTAAATATGGACAAAATTGATTGGTTTTAGCATCCTATTTTCTTTTCTTGTCACTAAATATTGACCACAAGACAGATTTTTTTTTCCCTCTGTATTTGCTTTCTTCTCAGCAATAAAACTGTGGAGGTGTTCCAATAACAGGTTTAATTTAATGCCTAAGGTCTCACAATAAACCTGGGAAACCTGGGGCAAGTAAAGTGAAAAAAAGATGCTGATATTAGTATTAGTTCTTGGTGGTTATGTAATAACCATGGATAACAACATTTAGAAGCCAAAAAATTTGATCAAAGGCTGTGGGAAATTTTCCCAGCTGAATGAAGCAGTTTGTATTCTTGTCCCTCTCCCTGTTTGACTTCCCCTTTCTCCAAAAGTTGGTATATTTTCCAAGCAGTAGGAAAAAAAACTCCAATAAATCCTTCCTTGCTGAGATTATCAAACTGATTTTAGGTCTTCCTCCTGCGAGGCCTTAAGTCAAATCCTGACCTCAAGTGATAATTACAGCAGAATCATCAAATAGTGGTGGTTTTCAGCCACATATGCATTAAAAGCTGATTCTGAGCTTATTTCTAAGGAAAACTGAGGCCAAACTGCCAAAAAAAGTTGTTTGGTTTCTTTTTTTCCCAGAAGAGAACAAATAATCAGAATTGAAAGCAAGCATTTATTCACTATAATTCCAGTAGAACCACAGCAGAATTCAATTGCAGTGAGCAATTTCTTGACTCTTCATAGAGGCAAACTGTGGATCTACAAATCTCTTTACATCAGAGAGAAAAAATGTAACTTCACACTTCTCTTTACTGCACCAGGTGGCAACAACTTAAATATCATTAGTGCATTCAGAGGTGAAAAAATATTGTTATTATGGACTTTTCAACCTGTGTTTGTACATAAAAGAACAATGTAGAATGTTAACAGTACTGATTGTTCCTGTATTATCACTTCCAGAGTGTTAATCACAATTTGTTCAATATCACCTCATTGACATTTGTTTCTTCATCAATACATAATTCTATATTAGCCATTGATGACAGAGGTTATGGCAGAATTGAAAAGGAGATGTTAATTTAACTGCCATTTTCTACAACTATTAAAGGCAAAAAAAATCTTTTTTTTTTTTTGCACTCAGTCTTCCATCCTTCACACACAGAGTTAGGTGGATGGAGAATCACAGCAGAAATATTTTGAAGGTACTGGAATTTTTCCTATGACCATAGCCAGAATGACAATTTCAGCAAGGGAATGAGTTGCTTGACCTAGAACTGGAACTTCATTTTAGCTCCAAAACTTTGCCACATCCTACAGGAGGAATTCTGTTCCAGGAAATGTCACAGTGCATTTGCCTTTGCTGCTTTTTTTTTTTTTTTTTGTGACTAAAAGGCTGAAGTTGTGACTCAACATCCTTCACAAAAAAGCCTAACAGAAAATGGCCCTGGTGCCAGCACACCCTGCTAGAAAGGAAAGATTTGAAAATTAACAAAAACCCCCAAAGGAACAGAGGGATAAATTATCCTCTCTAATAAATATCTCCTTGAAGCTCTCAGAGAGCACCTCAGGTTTCAGTGAGGGCTGCACTGAGAGAGGAAATCACAGGAATGTCAGCAATATCACACCTTTGAATGTGCAGCTTCCTGAATGCTTACCTGACCCCACACCAGCTCTCCTAATCCAATAAATACACACCACATCCACTGGTCCAGCTGCAGGGGAGAACAGCTGAAGGGTTTTCCTCCAAACTGGACAATTACTATCTACAAAGAGAAGCACGAGGGAAAAGGGGTCAATTTTTCAGGGGGAAAAGGCAACAAAACAAAAACAAACACAGCCAGACCCCCCCCCCAAAAAAAACCCCCCAAACCAAAAACCCCTAACCAACCAAAAAAACTGCATAATTTTGGTCCCCAAAAATGCCCATCAAACCCCACAAACTTCTGCATCCCCAATTAAAAGTGAGAAAAAGAAATAGCAGTTCAGACTCAAGTTCCTCAGTCTCACATTTAACAGTGGTCAAATATGAATGGTCAGGAAAAAAGATAACAGGACAGTCCCCATGTGCTCTCCCAGCTCCTGAATTTTTTGATTTAATGACATTAATCCAGTTTATTTTGGAATGTCCATTGCAAGAGAGGCTTTTCCCTCTGAGCAACATTTTATTGTGTATGTACAGATGTGCATCAAGGAGAGACAGAGGGTACAGAAAATTTTAGATCTGTTGGAGGAAAGGGGTGGGAAAACCCCACTCCTTCAGCAGGATAGCAGCACACAGAGTCTGAGCAGACTGAGAAGGTTTTGCTAACTGAAAATCAGATATTATTGATATTTCTTGTTAATATTGTTGCTGCAAAATCAAGGACCTGAAATCACATCCAGAGATTTAAATTGTCTGAGTTTTACACTCGTGATTTTGAATTAGATGTTAAAGACCATCACTGTGAAGTTCTGCTCCTATCACTGCTGCCCTTCCTCCAATATTCAATTTATTGAGGAGCTTCCCTTTTAAATCCCTGTAGCCCAAGCTCAAACTGCTCTTCCTCCTCCCAGGAGAAAGGTGCCAATGCTGAGCTGCCACTGCAGAGCTGAGCAATAACAACAAGATAAAAATAGATTTCCAAATTATAATGTAAAATTGTATCAAGCATAGGATGGATGCCAGCAAAAGAATGGATGCAGGAGCACAAGGGGGAATTCTTACAGAAGAAAGATTTGGGGGGAAATGTGTATTACTGTGATCATGTTCACTTGTGATGGGACAGCAAAGTCAGAAGGAACATGAGGAATGACAATCCAGGGGCATTCCCATCATTGCTGGGAATACTGAGCAGCATTGGGCAGTGGCATTGAACAGAAGAACAGTTCAGCATCCGCTGTTTGAAGGTAATTTGTCTTTTCAAGGAGTAATAAATAATTGTAAAAGGATTTGTTGGTATGGTATTAAACAATTTCTTCTTTAAAAAACAGTTGCAATATCAATGATGGCTGTTATTATTGTATGTACTAAGATTAATTTAAGAATTAACCCAGTTATAAGGATCAAAATTTCTGTTTTATTAGCATGGCTGCACAACATTTTCCATTACTAACACTTGTATTGATTGAGAAAATAGACAAAACCAGGTGGTTTACTCTTAAATGGGCCTCCTGCAGCACTTAGATTTAAAATTAAAGAAAAAAAAAAAAAAAAGAAAACACGGAGAAGAAAAGCCCAAACAACTTTGTGCTTGATTTTTTTTTGAGTGGATTTGTGATGATTTGGGATGAACAGCAGGTGATTCTTGCCCAGAGCTTTACCTGAATAGCAAAGGTGCCCAGGACAATAGTGCAAAAGATGGGGTTTCTGAAGATGCCGTCGAAGACGTTCCTCTCGCCGTGGATCTTGCGGGCGTTGATCTCGTTGAAGAGCTGCATCATGACAAAGGTGTTGAAGATGATGGTGTAGTGCTCAGAAGGAGGAGAGTGAAGAGGGGCGTTCCTCCCACTGTCAATCTTAAACATTTTCTCACCTAAGTGTAAGACAGAAAGAAAAGTTTCCTCTAGAATGAATCAAACCAATTTATATTCCATTAGCGTTCTTCTGCCTGTTGCCTTCTCTGCTCTGCTTTTCTAGATAAAACTTTTCTTGCCCCAATGAGCAAATCACATCTCAGCTGAGCAAGAAGCTGTTCAAATGCTGACTTTTATCTAACAATACCTAACTGCTATCTAACAACACCTACACAACCTTGGCAGCCCCACTCTTACTTTCCCAAGCAGGAATTACTCTAAGCACTCAATTCTTTCAAGTGTAACAAAATCTTAACGTCATTGCCAGAGTGTTTGAATTTTCTACAGTGGTTAGAAGCCACCCCTCTTCACCAGGTTTTACCCATTTACTAATCCAGTAATTTCTCCCAAGCATTGAAGGATATCAGTCACAAAATACACAGATTTTTAAGAGATTTGGGGTTGATCAGCAGCAGGCACTGCTGGTAATTTGGCTTTCACTCATAGATCTGACCAATCAAAAAGCAAGACACAACCCATGATG